TCGCGGTCGATTTATAAAGTTGACTATATCGCGGAGCACGGGCTCTCACGAACCTTTTACTTTGCCGGGGCAGCGCGCGTATAATCGTTCGATAATATCGAGACGTGGCTCGTGCCAGAACCGATTAGAATTCTTAATGGATCGTATAAAAGGCGATGTGCAGCGCGCGGACTGCACGAGCGTCGTCTCTTAATAAATTTTACGGCACGGTAACTCGCGACCAGCATCGAGATGATAATTAATTTTTCTCGGAAATTTTCCTTTCCGCATAGCTGTTTTGCGCGAAAAATAGATCTCGTTACGACGATATAAAAGTGCTTACAAGTTTATCGTAATACGACATCGTATATCCAATATCCGATGACAATTTTGCAATCTTGTCATTTGCTAATGTTTGTCATTTGCTAATGTTTGAATTTGAAAAGTGTGCAGCGTATCTCGCAGATGGATCTTCTTTTTCTTCATAAATTCAAGTTATCTAAAATTTTTCGTTTCAGTGGAAAAATGTGAATCTATTATTCTTTGTTCGTTAAAAGCGATTAAAAATTAAAAAATTTTTACAAATATATTTTCGAGGGTGTGAATAGATAAGGAAAATTTTTCAATTAATTTCGAGCGCACGCGATTTCTGAATCTTTATTAATTTGAAGAAAATAAGTAGTTAAATGTCAAGCATTCGATCATTTCTCGGAAAATACAATTTCTGTTTTAATTCTGCTTTTGAAATTGCGCATCGTACAACTCTCGCTCATTTTCCTACAATGCTGAGTCAGTGTTGCCGCGTCTCTTTAAACTCACAAAATGCACTTGACGGGATTAAAAAGGATTAAGCCAAACGCCGAATAACCAGCAGACTGAATCAAAGTTCCATTTTCATGCGGTTGGTGAAAAATAACTCTATCAACGCCTTGCGGAAGATTCGCCGACGTTATGAAAAGGTCTCGAAGAGTCCGCGTGTGCGCGTTATCGGACACGCCGCGGCGCGTATACGCCGCTACGTGTCGTCGTCGCGTATACGTGTATGCAGTGGCGAGAGTGTGTTTGCACGCGTTATACCGCGCTCAGCACGGGCAACGTAGGGACAAGAGAGGCGATATATAATGTTCCGCGATATTAAACGGGACGCATTCCACCGAAGCCACCCTCTGGTCCCTGCTATGAATGCTTCTACGACTCCCCCGTCTCCTGTCTCATCCCTCTGTCTGCCGCCTTCCCCCACGCCGACCACCTCCGAAAAGCGGGACGAGGAAGAGAGAGAGAGAGAGAGAGAGAGAGAGAGAGAGAGAGAGAGAGAGAGAGAGAGAGAGAGAGAGAGACGACG